TCAGAATTACTATCATTATTTTATTTTCAAGTAACAGGAAGTCACAAATGAGGGAATTTGATTTGGCTCACGCTTAAACAATCTAAGTGCAATTTCTACTATACATAAGAGAATACACAAACAAACACAAACATTTACCAATACTGATGCTGCTGCTGCTGCTGCTTTTGACACATGGGGAGGCTGCATTTCAGACACACGTAGCTAAAATCCGGAACAGTCTTCTGGAAAATGTGAGACGGGCTTCTTCTCTGACAATGCTTAAATCCGGGTTAAAAACGGCTCTGTTTCGTAGATGTGCATACAACTGAGGGATTTTATCTTCACTCTTTTTAATGTCCTGGATCGTCACCACAGCCCTTCTTGTCAAAAATCAGTCTAAACGACCCTCCTGCATCGGCAAGGAAAAACTTTAAAACCCAGTGGGAAACAGTGAGAAACCTCGAGGCAAACCACATTGAGGGATCCGCTCAACACAGATGGACAAGTTTACTTTTGAAAGCGCTGAATTTATCCTATGGGGATCAATAAAGTATCTAACTAACAAACTATAGATCCAGGACTGGTTAAACAGGTCCGGTGGAAACACTCCCAATGGGGTAGAGTAGAGTGGGACCAAGTAGGGCTGGTGGAAACGGGACATCAGTATCTGTTTGGTATTCTTTTCAAAATCTCCAAACTGACCTGTTATCAAATTAGAGCAAATGTTTTAAAAGAGCATGTATAGATCTGCAGTAACAGTGACATAACCATTAGTGTTGTTCTGATAAAGTTATGTAATATCTCCTTTTTATTCCGTTTCATTCTCTCACAGTTAAAAATGTGTCTGCCTTCTGTGCTTGGCTTTCAGAGTTGCATCAGTCTTGTGTGGTTCGCTCTTCCCCCTGACAGCGTTCACACATTGACTGGTTTGTAGGAAGGCGTTTGCTTCAAAAATAACCTTTCGCCGCCCCCCTTCCCCCCCCCACACAGCCCGGTTCATGCGGAGACACAAGCTGAAACCAGGACCAGGCTGTTTGTTTGAACTCGCAGGAAGAACAGAGCTGGGTGAAGCCAGGGAGACGTTTGGCCTGTTTATGATTTTTTTTTTTTTTGTCTTCCGACTAGCTTTGGGAAAAGTTGTCCCGCCCCAATTTCCTCGACTGAAGGGCCAACTTAAGTAGTAGTAGATAGGTAGGTAGATAATATCCCTGCACAAGATGAGTAGTCTTAACTTGAGTAGATTCTGACTCTTAAAACAAGATTTGCCAACAGGACAATTAGTATTATTTCAAGAACTGTTGCTTTATTTTTTCATTCCAAGGAAGACATTTCTTTTATAGTTTACATTTAGCTTGTTCCATTGGAAAATCTTGTTTTAAAACAGTCAAAAAGGACTGAAATTAAGATTTATTTTGCCAAAGTAGTGCATTTTTTAACACATTTTTCATCAGTTATTCCAGAGACACTAGCAGAGTTTAGTGGTCCCTTTTTCTGCCTCACCGTTTCATCACAATACTGAAGCGGTCCTGGGTTCAGTTCCACCTCCTGGCCTCTCTGTGTGGAGTATGCATGTTCCCCCTGTGTCTGCCTAAGTTTCCTCTGGGTGCTCCGGTTTCCCCTACCTAACATGTACAATAGGCATGAATGTAAAGAGTGAGTGGGTGGTGAGGGTCAGGGTCTTTGATGTGCTCTGTGCGGAGTGCCTGAAAAATGGCTGCTTACTTACCCTAATTAATAGAGCTTTGTATGACTTTGGTCTGTGAAATGTGCCACATATAAAAAAAGATTTTTATTACCAAACTTACTTACTTATTTTTCAGCAGCAGCAACAAATACAAATGTCAAAAAGGACATTAACAAAACAACACAGGACACACATGCTCACTAACCACAAGTTGAGAAATAAAATGGACAAACTTTTTTTTTTGACTTGCTATTGGTTTTTGTGAAGCTTTTCCACAACTGTGTAGGTTTCCTCCGGGTGCTGCAGTTTCCCCTACCGCTAAAAACAAGTACAATAGGTCTGACATGCGACTCCTTTACTGGCGACCCTGCGCTTTGTGACTCTGGTCTGTGAAAGGCGCTATATAAATAAAGTTTACTTACTTACTTAACACTCAGTGGATCAACAAGTCTGTTATGAAGCCGGTTAGAAGCAACACGGAAGAGCAGCAAGTGAAGAACTGTAGAAGACTGAAATCACCGCCGTGTATGGAGTGAAAGAATAATGACATGTTTTTGACGGTGCAAAAAGTGCTATTTTAAAAGTGATGCTTTATAATTATTATTTTTAAAGCAAGACATGTGTTTAAGCTTGCCAATCTAAACATGTTTTTTTCTTGCCTGCCAGGTTTTTGTTTAGTGGCGTCCAAACTGTTGCATTATTTCTTTTTCCTTTCCCTTCCAAACCTCGTAATATGGCATTTGACATTTTAACCCCGTAGCACCGTAAGTATTCAACATAAAGTTCAACGGTGATGGCAAAATAAGTTTAACTTTTTGGGCTGATGCATTAACTAATGTATGTATCCAAGAACCCAAAGAAGCAAATAAGCTCCATTGCCAATTTTGGTCATCGAATGCTGGTTTCCAAAAATAGCACAGACAAAAGAAAAATGAATCTTACGTCTGGATTCTAAGGCGTCAACTTTTAAGGACATTGGTCATCTGCCTCTTATGGATCAATGGCTGTACGTGTTTTTATTTATCATTGCATTTTTTGTATTTGAACGGTTTGATTCTCTGATCTGTGTTGGCGAACCGACCAAATGTCTTCCGAGAAAACTACTGTTGTGATTTAGGACAGCACAAAACTGGATCAAACTGAACTGAATACTTTTTTAATTGCGCACAAATCCAAACACTTTTATTATATATATATAATGAATGACATTTTTAATACATCTAAAGTACTAAAACTAATTCTATTTGCTGACGACACAACTATTCTATACAGTGGTGATGATTATGAGCTTGTAATCTCCGTAAACAAAGAACTACATCAAATAAAAAAGTGGATGGATGCAAATAAATGATCCTTGAATGTAAATAAAACTAAGATGATGATGTTTGGGAATCGCAACCTAACGTCTGAATCGAGAATAAGTATTAATGATATCCAAATTGAAATGGTATGTGAAATTAAGTTTTTGGGAGTAAAAATTGATAGCAAGTTGTCATGGAAACCCCACGTCAGACACATAAAAACCAAAATTTCCAAAAGCCTCTCAATTATTAACAAAGCAAAACTATACCTAAATGGAAATGCACTCCGTACATTATACTGCAGCCTGGTTCTTCCATACCTGACGTATTGTGTTGAGGTCTGGGGTAACACTTACCACAACACACTACATCCTCTCATCATATCACAGAAAAGAGCAGTGCGGATCATCCATAAGGTTGGTTTTCTGGAACATACTCATAATCTTTTTACTCAGTCAAAGCTGCTAAAGTTTGATGATCTTGTTAAATATAATACATCAATAGTCTTGTATAAAGCATTCAACAAATTATTACCGTCTAATCTGCAGCGTTTCTTTACGACTCCTGAGCGAGCTCATAACTTGAGAGGTTTTGGATATTTTTCACTGCCGAGATCAAAAACCACTCGTAAATGTTTTTGTCTGTCAGTATGTGGAGTAAAACTTTGGAATAAACTGGACTCACAACATAAGCAATGTAAAACTATTCATCGATTTAAACTGTTCTATAAACATAAGGTCTGGTTACAATATAGAGATGAGGGTCTTTAATTTAATCAGATTTTCTCTGTCTCATAGTAACATGTGCTCAATGTTCCATTACCTTGTTAGTATATAGAATCTTGCTATTGTTGTTTTTTCTTTTTTGTTCATTACCATTGTTGGTATATTTTCTATTACCATTGTTGGTATATTTTCTATTACCATTGTTGGTATATTTTCTATTACCATTATTGGTAACTGTTGTTACAATGTAAATGTCCTTGTTGCCCGTGATAACGCCACTCTGGTATGATACTGGCTTGAACTGTAACAGTGAAGTTGATCGTTTAATCACTGAAATGGGGATATAGGGGTGGGATTAAATAAGTTTTCTTCCTCCCACTCCTTTTCAGGCAGAAATATATGGCCATGTTAAACCATAGATTTTTGTTTATACATTTTTTGTTTACACTGTTTTTTTTGTTTGTTTGTTTTTTTATTGTGTTTGTCTGTTTTGTTTTATGCTTTATATTACTTAATTGCATTTAATTACCTCGTTTTCTCACTTGTGCCATTGCCTGAAATAAATTAATAAATACAAAATAAAATAAAATAAATATATCGTTTATCTATAATAACTGTCACTATGTATTGGGTCTTTTCGCTTTACTGAGTGAGCTTGGACCGGTCCTCACTGTCCTGACTGTATACCTCCTCCGCCTCTCTCCCTGAGGGGAAGCACTGAGTCCGTTAACCTCCCGTGCCCTCGGCTGGCTGCAGGAAGCCTCTCCGTGTCCAGCTTCACAAATGCTGCCAATTGATGTTTGTCCCAGCGCTTTAGCTGAGTCCCGCGGAGACAACTGAGGCCACCAAACATCCTCTTATGACCACTGGTGCACGGTGACCTGTCCAGCACGGCCAGCTTTGAGGAAGTCTCTTTCGGAGAACACTGGCTTTACGACAGGAGCGTCACACATGCAGACCGGCCCACCATGATTTGCAGTTATTTTTACATTGGAAAAGCTTATCCTCAAGAAAACAACCATTTCATTTATTGTAAACATTAAACCTAAAATGTAGAGCTCACATAGCTATTGAAAATCTGTGAAAGTCTTGTGTTTTGTATTGTTCAATGTGTGTCTTTTATGTCTGTGTTCTACAGCTAGCTGAGAAATGAATGTTTCTTGGAGGCACCAGTTTTCTTTTAACTTTTTTATTCTTCAATCTGCATGGTGTGTGTTTTTATAATTTGCATGCTTTCAATCATATTTTAACGTTTCAATCTACTTGTGCCATGGCCCCTTCTTCCCCCATACACAAGACTCGTGGCTTTCAGCGCACCTGGGAACTGGGGGTCTCAACAGCAGACGACTGAGAGCAAGCGGGAAGGAAGAAAGAGAACGACAACATGATGTGGCGGCGGGCTTGGAGTTTACCCGAGCGGCTGAACGACGAGCCACAAAGAGGAGACTGAGGGGATGGACTGGGGCCGGGCCAGTGGAGAGATGCGGGTGGGCAGAGCCAGCGTTGGACACTGGCACCGGCCACGGCTGGAACCAAAAAACGGCCCGGGCATTTTTGCCTCCTTGACGTTTATTCATGTTTTTTTTTTTTTACGGTTATATTTACAGTATGCAGAAGCACATATTGTAGAGGCTCAGGATATATGCAGTTTCAACAATTATAATAAAATGCAATGATCTACATCGAGATGAATAAACATGTCACAGACAGACTTAGCACCATATTGTTTGTCACTAGGATGAGAATGGGACATTTCAAAGAATTCTGAAATGTATAATGTCATTAAAGAGCGACTGTGCCCAGCCTTACTCCGCCCACATGAAGATTTGAAAATGTTCTCTTAAAAGGGCGTTGCCTGGAGGACCGAGGAACAAGAAGGGGGGCTTAGAGTTGGGCGTGGTCTGGGCTGTGATTGACAGCTCACTTGTCACACAAACAAAAAACCAGACATTTGTCATTGCTGCTTAAAGCAATAGTTTATACACCAGAAAGTCTCATTCCACCCTTGTTTACACACTAAGATAATTGTAAAGCTACACACCTGAACCTAATCACACTCAATAATCTCAGAATCACTCATGTAATTTAATTTTAATCCACTAGATGGCGCCAGAATACTCCAAACTGCAGCTGGGGCGTGTGTGAGAGTTGGATGGGTTCACATCACTGGCTCTGACAGACTGACGTCACACAAAACAACTGATGTCATAGAGAACTTCAGAGTCAATGGAGAGGCCAGGACCAAATTAAAATGTAGTACCACCAAAAAGGTTGAGAGGGCGCCACACAGACGTTTTTTGGCTTAAAAGTGATATTTTATCTAATTTGAACTAAAATGTCAAAAAAATGACCAGGATATGTAGAGAGCACTACAATAAACATATTTATGGAGTTTATGAGTTGAAAAAAGTTGATTTGGCGTTTAGTCGCTCTTTAAATCTGCTTTAAATTAAAGCTTTAATTTAGCAAGTTTAGTTGCGCTTTGGGAAGATACACATGGAAGACGCGGACTGTTTCTTGCAGCGCTGTGTTTATTGCGTGAACTGGTTATGCAAAGACACGCACACAACAAGCACAGTGTGGTCCTGTGGGTGTAAAGGGTCTAGGGTACATCCATTTGCCGCTGGACGTGGGAACCGCTGTCCAAAGCGGCTGCAGCTGCTCCAAAAGACTGCGGAGGATGTGGAATCCTGTTTGAATTCATAGAGCAATCAACAGCCAGTGCCCCGCGGCCATGCGCACCCCCCTGAAACATTTCTTAACAGATTTACACATTTCTCTTTCCCTTGCACCGGCGATGTGGCCTGCAGGAGCAGGCATTGATAGTACTGTACCCACACTGATACCGATGTTCAGCCGATGCATCAGTGCATCCTAGTTTTATAACACACATACACTATGGATAACTATCTCAAAGAGGAACAGTTCCAATACTTACATCCTTTGTCTACTGCGAGTTCCTCGTGTTCTGAAGAGGCAGAGTGATCTCACTTGGGTGGGGGTTTGAAGAGGGAACATTTTTTTGATTTTTCTTTTTCTTTGTGCCCTTTGACAAGGGGGTGGGATCTGGACCTTGAACTTGATATCCCTTCTTCAATGTGCCATTAAAGAGATTCTCTAAAAATGTCCCACTCCAGCCTTAATCTTGAGTCATGGCACCAAAGAGCAGACAAGCAGACTGACAGAAGCACGTAACTTTATGAAAACTGGACATGCACGTGACATTAATGGAGCTTGGTCTCTTTAAATTATTTAATAAAGAAACCTCCTGAGTCAGAGTCACCACCTGTTCCCAGCAGCAGCAGCAGCAGTGGCAGCAGCACCCGTGGGTGCACTGTCACAGGATAATGAGCTCAAATGGGCCACAGTGTGAAGCCACACAAGTACCTCCCACATGTGTCATGTGGAGAGAGCGGACAGAGCAGACTGTGTGTCACATGGGAGAAGAAGGCATCCCAACATGTGCTACATCCTATCAGCTTTATTTTTACATAACGATTACCTCAGTTTCAGTTCAATGGTGGATTTATATCTCTGAAAGTTGATCTCAGACTGTATAATGAAAACACTGAGGTGCCTCCGGCTGCACACTTTAACACAAAGCCTAGAAAGTGTATCACTGTGCTGTCAGCCGAATAATAGCATGTTTCATTTTACACAACCATTGTGTTATTTCCTTACTGCGACCCCACCCAAGGCCCATAATAAGAACAAAACAACCTCTGGTCTCAAGTACTGAGGGCCTCCTTTATCAAGCATTAGTTTGTGTGAAACATGGATTATCACCCTTTGAAATTGGAGAATCATCATGTTTTATGGAACTAAACCACTAATAGAATCTGCTTATTCACTGACATGTCAACTAAGGGTCTCATGGTCTAACATGTCAACTCATGTTCTTGGTCTTTTCCATCAGGAGAACCAGACATTTGCAATCCCCCCTCCCCATTCCCCTGTTAGTGCTCTATCTAAGCCAGAGGTGTCCAGACCGGTCCAGAAAGGGCCGCTGTGGCTGGAGGTTTTCAGCAGGCGCAGAGTAGACTCCACCCATTTAATCAAATCTTCAGGTTAAGACTGAACTCACTTGAGGAAATGGGCGGAGTCTGCGCTGCTCCTGCTGGGTCTGATATAAAACTTGCAGCCACAGCAGCCCTTTCTGGACCGGTTTGGAGACCTCTGCTCTAAGCCAAGTTCCTGTTCCTTGAGTGCAGGAAAATATGTGTCTTGTTTTTTTAAAGTATGAACTTTTCATGCACCGGTTGTCAGGTTGGGGGAAAGCTCCTCAGACATCCTCAGCAGCAGCATTGGGGTCCCCCAGGGCACAGTTCTTTCTCCACCACTTTGTATACTGTATGTCAGGCATACAACACCAGGGACAGGGATACACAGAAGCATAGTGCCCAGGAGCTCGGGTGTGTACTCACTGACAAATAAACTGAATCTGAATCTTGAAAGACAAACTAACTCCACAACCTCCAGTCCATACTCTCTAGTCAATGCCCTCAGCCAAGAGTGAGAGAAGAGAGAGTTTTGGGTCTTGTCTGTGTGAATGAGAGCAGTGTGTCCAATCCAATCTAATCCACTTTATTTAGTAAATAGCGCATAAACGAGCAGCTTCCAAAGTGCTGTCCAACAAGCGAAAATAGCAGCAAATAAATAGATACACACATACTGTATATACAAATCAAATAAAAACACAGAGGACCACACGACTCACGCGGTTTAAAAGCCAGAGGGTGCTGCTTGGACGAGGGGAGGCAGAGCGTGGTCTTGTCTCTTGCCGTGTTAGGGTCATGTGTATGTGTGAATGTGTATGTATGTGCGAGTGTCATTGGCTGCCATGTGTTTTGTTGGAGGGTGTTGGATTAAAAACCAATCCCTTTTCAAACCACGGACAGGTTTTCTTATTTATTTTTGTGTGAATAATTGCTTGTATATCTCGGGCATGCTTGAAATAAATAAACACATGAATAATTACTGCTACAAGCGCCTTTGGGTGACCTTGCCTGTAAAAATGCGCCATGTAAATAATAATTTCTTACTTACGCCAACTGAAAGACACAAATGAAGCTAGGTCAGCTAACACTTCTGATGCACTATCAACACCAGTGCATCTTCATAACATCTTCAGTATGCCTTTTTATTTTGCTTTTTTAAATTATTATTATCGTCACGTACACAATATATGTAGCAAAATTATGTATCTCTCTCAGATCTCATCCCGCTATTTAAATAGTTTAGATTATTTCAAGCAAACAATGAGTAGTGTACATTAAGCACCTCACAGTGGGTTAAAATCATAGACTGTATATATTAACGGACGTAGTCACGCCTATCTCTGCCGTTCTAACTAATGGGCCAAAAATTGGGCTCTCATGGAGTGATTCAAAATGGCCCAGGGGCTGGAAAATGTAAAAAAACGCATCTGCGCTCCATTTATTTAAACGAGTGACTTCAGAAATTCACAGCGAGTAAACTAGACTGGTCCAAAAAAATCCACCCCCCTCAGCATTGACACACATGTGGAACGGAGCTTTGGGCCAAGAGCCAACTTTTGGACCATCCTGTAAAGTGTTTTTAAGAGGTAAGAATATGCTATATGTTAGCATCGGCTAATTCTTTTTCAGGGTCCACCCCCATCGGCCCGGGGTGGTATTGCAAGCATGTCAGCGCACAACATTTTGGCCACTTTTGAGCCGGGACCCGCCCCCACTGGTTAAATTCCACCTCCAGGCCTTTATGTGTTGAGTTTGCATGTTCTCCCCGTGTCTGCGTAGGTTCCCTCCTGATGCTCCGACTTCCACCTGATGCTCTGGTTTCCTCCCCTACCACTAAAAATATATACAAAAGTTCAGGCATGCTCCCATCTCTGTGTGGAGTGAGTGAGGGACAAATGCCCAAAAAACCACAATGGTATGGTGCTCTGTGGCTGTAGTCTGTGAAAGGCGCTACATAAATAAAGATGACTCACTTATTTACTGACTGTCATGACGTGTGTGTGTGCGCCAGTGCATTTGGTCACTGTCAGGACACTATACACTGCTGTAAACTGGGCTGCAGTCTTTTGTCTGCCCGGAAACAAGTACACAAATGCCGAACATTCATAACCTAGTTCACAAGTTCATAACCTTTTGTGCTGTTATTATCACAACACAAACACCAGTAACCACTTCGAGCTGCCTCATGATTACTCCGTCTTACTTTAACATATAAATGGTTTCTGTTCATTCATTACAGTTATGAAGTGACCACAGGGAATAAAAACTGGATGTATGTTCCTGTAGAATAAATACATGGATGAACAGTTTATGTCTGCTGGTTACCTCCCAGATGGAATTTCTTTTTAGATATTTTAAGTATTACTTTTATCTAAATATGGGTTTGGATTCTATTTTCTGTATGAAACGAGTTCAGTTACTGTTTGGATTGACTCAAACATTAACCAAAGTTACCACAAACGTTGAAATGTAGACCGATAGTCCAATGAATGCATGTTTTATTCAAATATTTGTAATAACATGTTGCACTCAAATGTTAGAATATACCATCAATGCTGCAAGTTTGTCATAATAATTAAAAATACTTTTGAGGGCCACACAAAAGGGTCTCACAGAGCATGTTGAAACTTGTGTTCTATACACACCTGAATTTCTACTACTGGGATCAATAAAGTATCTATCTATCTTTAGCAAATCAGAAATGGTGGATAATTATTAAAGGAATACCAATAACGAGTATGTTATGTTTATTGTATCTTTGTTATATCTGTAAATAGTTTGAGGCCCAGCAATCAACCTGCATTGCTCCTGGATCTGCTGTGACGTAACATTTATGTGTCCACATTTCACTGATGACACGTAAAGGGGCAGAGTAGAAAGCCATGTGGCAGGACTCAGTATTTTCACTCAATATTTTAGCTCAATATTGAGATTTCAAACAACCAATCATGTACTTATTGATGTTGGTATGGATGATGTGTTTCTGCTGCTCAATTTAACTCAATTCAATGTGTTCTTGTTTCGCCCAAAATCACATCTCAAACACTTCAAAGGGCAGATGACCAATGTCCATAAATGTTGTTGAATGTCGGGTGTCCTGGATCATCGCCGCTGCTGGCACCAACGGGAACCAGTGAAGTATCTATCACATATCAGCTGTGTGTCCTCTTCACAGGCACCTCGCTAGATGAGGAGAGATACACAAATTGCTAGCCTCTTCGCACATGATTATACTGTGAGTCGGATGCTGTTGCTCAGAGACGCCGCGGCAGCCGGAGGTGGCAGGTCGTCCCAGTCGAGCTCCAACACTGCTGCTCTTTGAAGCCAGGGTCAGAGCAGGCAACACAGCGGTATACCTCAACCAAAGCCAAGTGGCAAAAAACACACCGACAATTCCTTATTCAAACTTGACATAAATCTAGGCTTCGGTATTTCTAATTTTCAATTTTTTTTTCTAGAAGGAACACCTAAGACGGCAGCAACATGACTACTTTCCCAGACTTGTGCTGTCCTCAGCTGAACCATGGGTCTGTGCCAAATCACTGGCCAAGTTCACAGGAGGTAAGCAGGTTAGCAACAGCTAATTCAGATGCCCTGTTATACATAAAAATGTGTTTGAAGGCTCAACATAATGGAGCAGTAATGGTGTTTTTAGTGAAGGCAGAGACATTTTGGCACAGGGGCCGGTGGAGGCCGTATGACGAGGGCTGAATCAGCACCAGCAAACTCACGCTGCTCGTAAAGAAACGCACTGAGCTGATAGAGGACAACAAACACATACACTTTGAATAATGTACAGCATTATAATATTGTTTATGAATGATTTGTTTGATGCACACACTCAACTCTAGGGGTGGGCTCTTATTATGTAAGGGGGCCACGTTGGGATGTTGTCATACTGTGGCGAGCCGGACCCATTTTTGTATGGTTACCGTTTAATAAATTTTTTTGTCAAATAAACAAACTTAAAGTAGAGAAGGAGCTGGACAAATGGAGCCACAATATTGAGTGTTTTTGTGTGTTTGTGTAAAGTTTGTCATCGTTCTCATAGATTTCGAAGCTTTAGCATCTGTGAATAGTTTATACATTACAGAACAAGAATGAGATTGATGCGCACATCCAAATCTGAGTAGCGTGCACAAATTTGAAAATGAAGGGTAGTTTTGCCTGAAACTTCACATCTTGTGGTGCGAAATAAAATAATCCCTTCCGAGCTAAAGATTTTTTCATCTTAGTTTAAACATTACATCATGAAGATATTTTGAGCAAATGATTATTTAATTGATAAAAGAGTTCGATTTTCTTTTGGTTTTGCCAGGATTTAACCAAAACTGGACAAACAAACTAAGTGTTGTAGACTAAATTACAGGTTCATATTTTGGACAGATTTTTATTCATTTTACTCATTTTAACTTTTTTTGCGTTCACTGTTTAGAGCAAAAATAAATGTTATAAACCGCTGTTACTACGGCGACCACTGCTCCTGACGTAAGCCTTAGTGGCATCAGGATGGGTCAAATGCAGAGGACACATTTCTTTACAGGGACAATAAAGTGCACATTATTATTATTGTTATTATTATTGGGTATTGACTCAAATTCATATAAAAAAGTAGCAGAGGTCAAAGTTGACCTGGGGGCTGCTGGACTCTAAAGAACTTTTTGCAAAAGTAACCGCCTTGTGCCTTTGGTTTGAAGTTGTGCTCTGAAAGATGTGAAAATACCATTGACTGTAAAGAGATGGACAATTCTAACCTCCGAGCACAATTACGTCCGATAGGGAAGTGCTCATGGACAAAGTTTTGCTCTACATGCATTGAAAAATCCTGGTGTAAATTCCTGGTGTTTGTTGATATTGTCCTTCTAAATCCAGCTATGAGATATATAAGGATTGACCGATCAGTTTTGATTCATTCATTTCAGGTCTTGCAAATTAAAAACAGTGAAAACATCGTTTTCACATCGCTTCTCTGAATTAAATGCAGCATCATTGAGTCAATGAAGTGAGAAATTATCACCGGTACTCACAGGTAAAGAGTTAAAGAGTTAGAGTTAAATGGGGCGCCAGGTGAGCAGTGAGGCAGTAAGACCAAAGGTTTAGGAGCCAATTTCTTCTAATTGGTGGGTAGAATTAACAAAACAGACTGGCGAGGAGTGGATGGAAACCCAGGCTTCTTATACTGCAGTTAATGATGAGGAGATTGGATCCAAGGTGTGCCAGCGGAAGCCCCACCCAGATGGGAAAAAGGAGGGGGAGAGCCACACACACAACGGACGACTTTAGTGGATGTAAAAATAGTTCAATCTG